TACTAGTCATTATTTTATATTGTTATCGAAATTCTGGCCTTTACATTTCTTTATGCTCCCCACATAAATTTTATTACACAGATTACCGTCGGTTCGAACCATATTTTAGTCCGTTGTCAGGGGACAATGATACAAACAGATTTAATGAGTCAAATTGTTAATGTGAAACTCTCAGCCACAAAGGACATCCAGGGACTAATGCTGACGGCTTTCTGTTAATAGTTGACGTATATTTATTGCTCAAGTATACGCCACGCCTGTACTTCATGTCCCTGTGTAAACATGTTTTAGACTTGATGAGCAGAGTCTTTTCGATCTTTCTGAATCTGAAGTTCATTACATCGTTTTAGATTTTCTGGTGTAATACCGACCTATTTCTTATCTTTGACAATGCAATGGTGCACAACGGCAGAGATATTTTTCCATTCATAACTGCTGTGCGGTCCTCCTCCGCTCATCCTGAATTTTTCTTGAGTTGACAGCAACTGTAGACGCTTCTATTTCGTAATGCTTTAACGCCTTCTTGTCTGTTTGCTCTTTTCTTCTTTCCTCAAGGGTATTAGCCGTTTCTCAAATTCGAACTTTATCACAGTTGCAGTGGATGCCGCAGTACCATCGGCGGTTTCCTTCCTGGAACACCTTCGCCTTCACACTCGTTAATAGACTCTGAAGGGCGAGATTGAACTTAAACGTAATTTTCACTCATAGCAGTGAAGCGACCCTTCTTAACTTTTCGCAGAGGATGTGTAAGTCAACGTCCATAATTTTACCTCTACGATATGATTACCCTTCAGTCTATCTTTTCACCGTTGTATCTTGATAACGAACCAAGTCTGATGCGCCGGTAATTAAACTAATAACATGAATATCTGGAGGATGCACGAAAGCCAGGAACTTAATTTCCGGCATTTAAGAGCAATGTTAAATTTTGAAATCGAACTTATTATTAAAAATACAAATCGCTGATTCACTTAAGCCTATTCTCCTCAGTAAGAGAACTTTATATTATCGCAATAACAATTTCGATAGGTTGGGTTATTATTTACAGAAAGCGCTGGGATCCTCACTGCACAATAAATGACCTTAATTGACCCTGTTGCAACGCTACCCGAAGGGTTCCTTTGATTAGCTTGTCCGTTCGCTGCCACTGCAGATCGATACTTTGTCGTAGAAGGAACAGGCATTTTAGACGAAACATGACTTTATGCAATTGATGAAATCTTCGTTTAACCTGCAGCAAAGTGGTACGGCGAATTAACTTGCCTAACAACTCATGGTTGAGGTTCAAAGATGTTGACTCTTGATCGGGTAAATTTGAATCCGCTTAAATGTTTTGATTCCTGATGTACAAAAATGTCATTTTTCATTGGCTTTTTTTACCTCATTTACCTAAGCCCATAGACCTGAATTGATAATTACCTGTTGCTGAGCATGAGTTTGACAGCAGTATTGTTTTTCAAGCTGTTTGAGGACCACAGACGTACATTCAGTTTCAGATCTAGTTAGATCATAGCATTTACTTTGCCACTTTGTAGAAGAAGGATAGTAAGAATAAGCGTTCGTTAACATGGTACCTCGTACAGTCGTGTATTTGATTATTACATGATATGTAAAATGAATATCTAGTTTATGAGAAACATTTCATCTGTCCATCTAAAAAGATGAAGTAAGGTACGTCTCCCACTGCAGGGCTCAAATAAAGTGAGGATATAGTCTGCGAAGATATTACCTTCCCCCTAAGCACTGGGAGAAAGTGAACAATGCAATACATTCCGAAACCATGCCGTGGAAAAACTTGGCATTTGTTAACACTGTGATAACCGTTACGAACAAACTAATGCATCATGTTAAGGAGTGAATATCACATCGCCTTCCTTTCCCTCATACAACTTCTCAACTGCCCACTTTTGCGAATAGCTGAGGTAATATTTGTCTCCAGATCCTCCACTCCCTCCCGACTCATCAGCCCAATCAGAGACGACCTCGCCCACCGTGATAAAGGATTAAGAAACCAGTTAGCTGCAAAATGTTGTGAAATACTCTGAAATTTGTTCCACGTTTATTGTTTGATGACATAAAAATCGAAAATAGTTTTTAAACGCCGCTGAATTTTCACAACACTGTTCACTAAGCGAGTAAGAATGGAATACATTAACATCCTTTTTTTACTACTTTATTTTCTGAACATTCTCATCCCAATTGGTTTTCTCAAGACAAATGGAGATTAATTACTGATTACATTTCGCGGTGAGTTCATTGATAGACTGATAACCAGCCAGGAAACTTAACAGAATTTTCGTACTTATGTACGGCGTTCGATCGATACTATTTCTTCTTCTTTGTCCACCTTTCACGCAGAGGTGCATTAACACAGAGGTAGTTTCAAATGAACGGTTTATTAGTCAGTTGATGACGATCTGATCGACTCAGTACATGAAATTGAAATTTCTTTGCTCTCTGTTTTCATTGTCCATGCATTCGCGTTGAGCAGTCGCTTTTGCGGAAACCGAGTTTAGTTTCGCTTGGGGTCGTTTGACGACCGATCACCAGATAAAGAGCCAGCACGAGAATTATGCTAAGTAAGAGCACATGGATGTAGAAACGAGGGCAGTGACGCCTGCGACCCGTTCCTCGATCCAAAACAGTGAACCTGCTTTTTTAAGTTTCCGGCAGATCAAAAACAGGCGCATGACGTCCGGCTTGCATCTGAATGAAAGTCCTCAAACAAAGAAAAAAACAAAAAGAGACAAACAGCAAAATAAAACTTTATGAATCAAGAAATCGAATTACTTAAAAAAGATATAAATACGACAGACAACGAACTGGCAGATGATAGTCAAAATGCTATTAGTTCGTCAATCGCCGATGGTTAAATGTTGTCCCTGGTGTGGCGATGTTTGTGCAAGAAATGCAGACGGCGGTGGCGCGGCTCCCTCTTGCTGCTATTCATCGAGTCGTCGTTGCTCTGCGTCGTGCTGTCCACGTAGCTACTGGTACTTCTGATCGAA